CACACACACACACACTCCCACACACACACACACTCACACACACACACTCACACATACACACACATACTCCCACACACACACACACACACTCACACACACACTCACACACTCACACACACACACACTCACACACACACACAGGCAAACATCTTTGTGTATATATGTATCCATACATTTAAACATATATGTAGAGTCGGTACCCCCTCACACTTTGTCATTGTTCCTGGGTCATCACGTGTGTCTGTCTTCTTCCCCTAACGAAACCATAAGTTACTCCCTGACAGGGACTGGGTATTCTACCTGCGTTTTTCCTAAAGTATAGATAATGTCACTTGACTTACTCACGGTAAGTGTGCAATGAAGCCTTATTAAAGGGAGGAGAGGGTGGTATCTGGGCATCTGTCACAAGTGAGAGGGCCCGTTGGCACAGAGAGTGGAGAGCCAGGTTTGCCAAGGGGCATGGCCTGTTCTCATCTGGGGGATGGCCCAAGCCCATCCCTCCCCCAGTAGGATGGGGCTACACCCGTGCAAGGGCAGTGTTGCCCAAGGTAAAGCACAGTAGAAAGAGCATGTGATTTGTAGTTGGTGGGCCTGGGTTCAAATCCTGACCCTGCTACTTTACTGTCTGTGTGACAGAGTTAGTCCTTTCTCCTTTATGGTCCTCACTTTTCTCCTCTAGAGTAAATGAGGCAGTTTGGTGGCTCAGTAGATAGAGCTCTGGGCCTGGAGTCAGGAAGACCTGAGTTCAAATCCAGCCTCAGGCACTTCCTAGCTGTGTGACCCTGGGCGAGTCACTTCACCTCTGTTTGCCTCAGCTTCCTGGAGAAGGAAATGACAGACCACTCCAGTATCTTTGCCAAAAAAACGTCATACAGGGTCACGACTGAACAACAACAACAGCAGAGTAAACTACCTCTGAGGCCTCTTCCAGCTGTAAAGCTCAGAGCCCAGGCCATGAACTCACCCAGGCATTTGCCCCTGGCCAGGACCTTTGTATGTGGCACGTTCAAATGACCCTTTTCCTCCCCCACCTCCCTGAGGCTTCTCCAGACTGGGGCTTCTCAAGGTAGCTCTGACCTTTGTGGGTCTCCTGGGCACCCAGAGCAGCCAGTTCTCTGGTCCCATGGCATATAATGGTAGAATCATGCCACGGTACTCCCAAGTGAGAGGATGGGCCAGAATAGGGTGGCCCAGCTGCTGAAGCAAATTCTGAAGACAGAGGGATGTCCTCCACGATGGGCCATGATGGAGCCAAGTGCTTACTCACTGCTTGGTGGGTGAAGCCATAACTAGAGCCTGGTAACTGGGCCTATGCCCAGGGCACTGCACCTAGAGGCCGGCGACTGTACAGCTACTTCACATCACAGCTTAGAAACAACCATTTAGCACTAAGGCAAGCTAATTAGTTAGAATAGGAAACTATCTGATAGAAGGGGGTGACATTCCCCCCTCCCTTCCATGCCACAGCCCTGTCCATCTCCCGGGGTCTCTGTCTCCCCACGATAATCTCCCCTACGTCAAGCCAAGGGTGATGCGCAGGCCATTTCTCCCAGGCCCCATTCATGGTACCTGCCCCAGCTCAGGGAGGAGCCCAGAGGAAACCAGGAGCCTAAGCTGCCAAGTCAATGTTTAGGCCAGGATGATGCCCAGGTTCCCACTCCTGCCTCTACTGCCTTCAGAGTAAATGGACGCAGTGAGTCTAGACCAGAGACTGGATCAGAGGCTCATAAATTTATAAGGGGTCCAACCTCCCCCCATTTTGTAGCTGAAGAAACTGAGGCCCCAGAGGGGCAGTGGTCTCTTGACCAAGGGTCCCACAACCAAGAAGTAGAAGGCTGGGATTGGAAGCCAGGGGCACCAAATGTGCAGTGCTTTCCACTGCCCCCGCTGGCTGCAGCCCTGGCCCTTGGGCGTACCTTCCTGCACTACTTGTCCTCATGCCTTGTCTTTTTCAGAAGAGTATGAGGAACAGTACTCGGAGGCCAGGATTTCTGGGCAGACCTTCCGCACTCCAGGCCCAGACGACCCCCTGGAGCACACTATCAGCCCAAGGCCACAGTCTGCCAAGCGCCTGGAGTTTGTGTTGATGGTGAGTTTCAGCTTTCTTTCACTGGCAAGGGCCATGGTAGGCAGGCCTGCAGAGCAGAGACCCACTAATTATGGAATAGTCTATGGACGGAAGCCCTTAGCCCCCTCTGTTCTCCTGGCCCTCCAGGGAGGAGCAGAGAGCCCTGGCATGTGTGTCTTCTGCTCCCACCCTTCCGTCCTCGGTTCATGATGAGGCCTAGGCCCAGCCTTACAGGCTGTGCCTGCCCGCAGGGCTGAAGACAGAGCTGAATATCAGGGCCTGTAGCTTGGCTAGCCCCCAGGGAGAGGGCACATTAAGCTGCCAAGGGCTGGGGGAACTCTGACAGGGCACCTGCTCATTGAGAGGCACGATGATGGAGTAGGGATATTGTGCAGGACCTGGGTTCAAATCCCACCCCGGACATTTACTAGTTATGTGACCCTGGGCAAGTCACTAACCCTTTCTGGGCCTCGGCCTCTTCATCTGTAAAATGAGGAGATTGGATTCTGTGTCTTCTAAGATTCCTTCCATCTGTAAAGCTAGAATCCATAACAGTCCTCCTATCCTTGCTTCACTTTAATGATTCCTCCAGGAAGCCTGACTCACTACCCAAAGAACATCCTCTGGGGACTATTTTCTCCTCCAGTCAGACCCACAGGCTTTCCATTACCCTGTTTCCATTGGCCTTTCTCCTAATAGCCCACAAGCCGAAGAGGGAACGGCGACAAGACCACCACTCAGGGTGTGAGGCCCCCTGAGTCCTCTCTGAGCCTGCCCGCCTCTCCGGACAAGCCAAACACCTGGAACAGACCCTTCCCTCTGCCCACCCTGGAGGAGAAGAGGTGGCATCCATCATGTTCCACCCAAGGCAGCATCGTGCCCATCAACGTCTCTGGTAGAGTTTCCTGGGGACCCCTCTGCAGTCCATTCTTTCTGAGTGCAACTGAGTCCCCAGGGGAGGGGATGGCACCTTCTCAAGTGGTTGGTTGAGTGATCCGCATGGTACAGCTTAGTTCTTACAGCTGGGGGATGAAGGGTGTTTATGCTTCCTTCCCGGTGGCCTGATTGCACTGCCATATACCTGTGTCCTTCTTGGCGAAGAGAAAGGAACTCTAAGTTATACTAACTTACCGTGGTTTGTTTTCTTTCCATGAAAGCCTACATTGGGCAACCGATCTCTCCTACTTCTCTAGCCCTGGGAGAAGGCCATTTACCACTTAGTGATAGCCAAGTCTCTGGGCCATGGGCACTGGCAGGGTGGAGCCAGGCCTTGTAAGCAAGGGCTGTGGCCTTCCTCCTGAGGTGCAGACCCTGGGTCCTGAGTCCATACATGTAGCCAGTTTCTTTCTTTCTTTCTTTCTTTTTTCAGTTGGGGAGAAAAAAAAAAAGAAGGAAACTGTCAGAATGAGACTAAGAGTGCAGAGCTCAGCAGGGAAAATACTCTGACCCTTGAAGGCATCTATCTTTTCCAGGCTGAATGTCCCCGGGCCTTTCAATCCACATTATGTCCTCACTACTCTGGTCTCCCTCCTCTGAACGTACACTAGCTTGTCAATGGCTTTCCTCCAATGTGGCCCCCAGAACTGTGGCATAACCTCTTTAGGCCTGGATGCCAGGCCTCTTATTGCAGCCTAAACTAATACTCTTAGTTAGCTTTTTAGGCCTCCATATCACACCATGGCCTCATTTTGAGTTTGCAGTCCACTAAGAAGCCAAGCTCTTTTTCACATGTCCTGGCACCTAGCCAAGCCTCCCCTCTCCTCTACTTGGGGAGAAGATTTTTGACCCCAAGTGCAATAGGATTTAACCAAGATTTAAGTCCTCACTAGGGGTCTTCAAGCCAAGCATGAAGGCTTGAGGGGGTGGTAGGGTGGACTAGATGACTTTTGAGGCCCATTCCTACCCTGAGATCCTGTGATGCTGTGGGGTTAGGGTAAAGGGCTGGCAGTGGCCGGGTCAAGTCTGGGGCCAAGTAAAGCTCAGTCCCTTAGTGCTTACTGTCCTAGGGTTAGTGGAGCTGTGAGGACAGCTCCATTCTGAAGGTGGGGAGGAAAGAGGGCCAAGTCAGGGGCACTCGCTAGGTGAGGACTGGGGTGAGGCCACAGGGACACGGAGGAAAAGGGCCTTTGGTAGCAGTGAAGTGACTCTCCCTGAATGTGGGGCCAGTTCAAATGACTGCCCGGACCCGTGGGCCGCTGGTGACATAGAGGAGTCAAGGAGAAAACAGAGCGTGGCCGTCTCAGGAGAACCCAGACAACCCGGCTTGACTGAGACGGACGAGGCGATGTTTACAGGCTTTCTCTCCAAACCGGGATCTTGCCATATGTAATATTGTCCCTTGTTTTCTCCCACGGAGCCACATCATTCTGCTACTACGGTCTTGTCTCCAGCACATGTAGTCACTATTCTGAACGAGGCAGTCGGCATTTTCACTTCCCACCTTGGTTCTCCTGCGCTATGTTCGACTCATCTGTTTTTGTTTGGTGGAAGGTGAATATTAGGAAATATTCACAGAAAACTGAGAGTAGTGCTGCTATCCCTGCCAAATACAGCAAGCACTTCTTTATTTCAATGAATATAAAGACACACTTGGGTTCCAGGAAATCTCCTTCAAAAGCAGAAGGTAACAGGGTGGTAGGGTAGCGGGGAAGGAGCCAGAGGCTTTCGGAGGCTCCAGGCTCAGCATTCCATGAGAGCCAAGAAGGCTGATGCCATCTGTGGCTACATCGAGAGACAAGGCGTTCGGAACTGGGGAGGTGGGCGGCTGGCCTTCTATGCTCTGCCCTGTTCAGCCCCGCCTAGAAAATAGGGCCACAGTTTAGGAAGGGCAGCGAGGAGCTGGAGAGAATCCAGAGAAGAGGGGCCTTGAGCGCACACTTTAGGGATATCTAGAGTTGAAGAGGAGACTCGGGAGGAGAGAGCACAACCAGCAGCCCGGGGTTTGCTAACAACTGGAACTGTCTCAGAGTGGGAACCTCCAAGCAGAGGTGGGATGCCCATGGCAGCTGTGTTATCATGGGAGTCCTTCTTCACACTCTGAGATTCCGGGATTGGGAAGCCATGCATTCACCAAACATCAGTCCCTTTGCCTTTATTCATTCTCAGGGAGATGCTTCCCCATCAGTCCTATGAGGTCCGATGTATTTCCATATAATCATTACATCTTAGGGGTCATTGTGTAAACTGTTCCATTGGCTCTCCTTAATTAACACATACATGCGTTTGGACAGGCCTTTCCAAATTTCCCTAAATTCTTCAATTTCCTAGGGCACAATAATATTCCATTATATTCATATGCAATTCATACACACATACTGGGCATCTGCTTTGTTTCCAATTCTTTGCCACCACAAAAGTGGTGCCATGTGTATTTCTGTGCGTAGGGGACTTTTCTCTCTGTCTTTGGCCTCCTTGTGGAATGTGCCTGGTAGTGGCACTGCTGGGTCAGAGAGCATGTACAGTTCGATGACTTTGGAGAACTGATTCCAAATTGCTTTCCACAGCAGCTGGGCCACTTCAGAGCCCCAGCAGCAGTGTATCAGTGTGCCTGTCTTCCCACGGCCCCACTAATGTTTACCTTTTTTTTCATATAGTGATTATTAATTTATATTTCTTCTGAAAACTGCCTATTCATATCCTTCATATTCATTCATGTGCTTAAATAGTCTGTCCCACTGATCACAGTTCTTCTAATGTTTAAGCAGAACCACTAACCCTTTCTAGTTGAGTTTGAGGCCAAGTATTGCTTATTCTTATCATTTCTATTAAGATTCTTGATCTTTGGACATTGACTTGCCATGGCCCAACACCCCAAGGGTTGATTCTTGAAAGTGAATTCACACAGGGTATCTTCAGGTAGCTTTTGTCCTTCAGGAGTCTTGGGACATATGTTCAATGCAGGGCCCTCAGTCCCTGGGGCTCCTGTCTAGAGACAGATCCTTCTCAACCACTTGATGCTCTGAAATCCAGTTAATATTAGCTCTGACATTCTTAGACCTACATCTCCATTCAATTCAATGAACCTTTATGCATTTTTCAGCCCCAAGTTTTGTTTTCCTGCCTACTCATGCCCTGACCCTTACAGAGGTAGTTTTGCCTATATATATATGTATATGTATATATATATATATATTGCCTCTATATCTATATCTATATATATATGTAAATGCCTTGCAAAATCACTGCTTGGGGCCTACATCTAGGGCAGGATGGACTGTCACTATCATTCTTTGAATTATGGACTAATTTAGCAAATCTTTTTCAAGCATGTGTGCATGGCCCAGTGCTAGGCATGGGAAGTCTTACCGGTCTTTATAAGACATGGTTTGGAGCACAGGAGGGCAGAGAAGAAAAATACACAGCAAACAACATAGAGCAAAAATCAGTGTGTTGAGGATTCAGGCCTGGGACAGGTCACCTCTGGCTAGGGATACCAGAGAAGGCCTTATGGACAAGGGAGCGTCTGAGCTGAGCCTTGAAAGATGGCTAAGATTTCAATAGGCAGAAATGGAGGGGAGGGCATTCCAGGCAGAGGGACCTGAACCAGTGAGAGGGTGGTATCAGGAAAGCCCGAGGCATTTTGGGGGAAAGGTGAATAGTGCAAGTTGGTGAGAGTGGCGGGTACCTGTAGGGGAGTGGTGGTGGGAGGGAGAAATGCTTCAAAGATTATAGTTAAGGGAGAGCTTTTGTTTATTCTGTAGGCAATGGGGAATTGTTCACTGAAGAGTTTTTAGCCAGGAAATGACGTGATCCAAGCAGTGACTCACTGGGATGGATCTCGCGGTGTGCGCAAGATGGATGGGAGTCAGGCAGACCTAGAGACACAGGCCCCAGCAAGAATGCTACTTCAGTAGTTCAGGAATGAGGTGATGAGGTCCTGGGCTAGAGTAGTGGTGAGGAAGAACTGGAGGGGAGAGACATCACAGAGGAAAGATATGCAGGGATTTGGCCGCCAACTTGGCAGGGGCGGGGGGGGGAAGAATCCAAGATTCCTGGGAGGCGCACCTGGGTACTGGTGGCTTGGCTTTCTGGTTCTAAACGAGCATCAAGAGGGTGAAGGAGTCTCGAGACAGAAACAGTGACATAATTGGCTGTGGAGTCCAAGCTGGGAGACTAGAAATGAGAGCTGAGCTCCATGCGTAGGTAAAGGTGGATGATTCAGGGGCTGTGGCTGGACAGTGGGAGCTTGGGAAACAGAATTCAATGAAAGAATAGAACCGACACGGCACAAGAGACTCAGTCTTAATAAGGAGGCACTCCTCCAGTTCCCCCCTTTTCCTGCCCCAGACTGTCTCCCCCCAAATTAACCTTCAAAGAGGATATGATCTCAGGTTCTATGGAGCGAGCTATTATTTGTACACTGAGGGAGCTGATAATCCATGGTCAGACCCCATGTAGAATAGTGTCCAAGGGGGGTAGCTAGGTGGCACAGTGGATAGAACACTGGTCCAGGAGTCAGGAGGACCTGAGTTCAAATCCAGCATCAGACACTTGACACTTACTAGCTGTGTGACCCTGGGCAAGTCACTTAACCCCATTGCCTAGCCCCCCCCCAAAAAAAGCTAAATGGAGGCATTTATATTAGGTGGCACAGTGGATAGAGCACAAGCCCTGGAGTCAGGAGGGACCTGAGTTCAAATCCGACCTCAGACACGATACTCACTAGCTGTGTGACCCTGGACAAGTCACTTAACCCTGATTGCCTCACGTCCCAAAAAGATAGAATAGTGTCCAAGTTCTGGACGACACACTTAGGAAGGCCATTGATGAGCATTCAGCGAGGGGCAACCAGGCTGGTGAAAGGCCTAGAGCGCATGCCATGGGAGCATTAGTTGGAGAAACTGAGGATGTTTAGCCTAGAGAGGAGAAGGCTTGGAACGAGGGAGGGAATGTTATCACTGTTGGCAAATATCAGAAGGGTTGCGTGAGGTAGAGAGACTAGACATGTTCCACTTGGCCTCTGAGGGAAGATCTAGGAACAAGGAGTGGGAGGAAGAAAGATTCCCCCTAATGGTCAGTGCTACAGATGGGGATCTCCCTCTCACTAACGGTGACTCGTTCAGGCTGAACGATATCACAGCTGTGATTCTCCGATCTAAGAAAGGCTCAAGAGAACCCGTGGGACTTAAGCCCCCAGGGGCCCTCTTCTCTATTCCCAGAATTGGACAAGAGCCAGTCCACTGAAATGCGAGCCAGTTAACTAGCTATTTAAATGCTTTTGATGATAAAGAACTCCCGAAAGGAGCCAGTTTCAGACAAACAGGAGCACCAGTGTTTCGAAGGGAGGTGGGAGGAAAGGGAGGTGGCCTTTAGCTCTCCTTGAGCTGTTATTTTGGGAAGTGGCTGGAATCCAGCTTTTCTGCTATACAAAGAGACTCCTGCAGCCCAAGTTTGCTTAGCGCCTTAGGTACTTTCCTGGACTGTGTCAGGGGAATTCTTCATCTAGCTACAGAATGCTCCAGTCCTGAGTAGATCTTGTTAAGTCTCTTCAGTGACTTTCCTGCACCAAGGTGTACCTGTAAAATAACACAACAGGCCTGTGATACCCACGAGGGAAAGGGAGGAACTGGGAAGTGCCTAGTTATGAGGACCAGGTCTTAACACTTCCCTCGAGGAGTGACCATCTTAGGACAGACTCTTCTTTCTCCCAATAAGACAAAGCTGGGAATGGCCTTCAGAGCCTTTCAGAATAAGTGATTCCCTTCCCAAGCCACATATGTACCAGTTAGGGGTCCCATTCCACCAAGTCTCAGGATGCCTGTGAGGTCAAATTTGCCTTTTTGTGTTAGGGTCTCTGGGTCACCTTGCTTGTTATCTGTCTATGTTATCCTCTGTGCCTAGCACAGTGCCTGGCACATAGTAGGTGCTCAATAAAACCTTGTTGATTGCTTGCGTAGAAGACAGCTGAGCCCGTGTGTTTTCGAAGGTGCTAGCTCTTCGCTTGAATCTTGTCACCACATCCATACTGATTGTCTTACCTGCTCACCATGGCTGCTTGCTGTTGTATCTAGCTTGCAAGGTGTATGTCCAAGCCAATTTCTCCCTTCCCCTCCCTTTGCCATTTAATGAGATTTGTAAGACACCAGGCAAAGGCATTCTTCTGGGAGTCACTGCTACTTGGCTCTTCTCGGCTCCGAGTGTCCCATGGGCCTGAATCCCTTCCTCTTCTGCCCTCCAACCCCCTAACACACATCTGAGTTCCCCTCTGCCTCTTTAGACCTTCCTCTCTCCTGTTTTTACTTCGTCTTCCATTTTCTTATGGGTGTTTCATCCTTCCTGATGACCAGGAGGGTCAGGAGGTATTCCTCAAACCTCTTCGTTCCTTTCTTTGGAGGGAGACCAGACTTCCCTGTGAGCATACATAGCAGTTACTTGGCTGTGGCAGGATGAATGGCAGATTCTTGGTCCCAGCCCCCTTCCCTTCTTAGCGCTGGCAGTGAGGTCCGGCTCTCAGGCCTCTGTTGTTCTCGTGGCCCTCTCGCACTGTTTCCTGGCCAGAGTACTGGGATACTTGGTTTACTGCGCGGGGGTCCTGGATTTGTCATAATGCGCTGAGTGCTAATGCCAAAATACCGTTTCTTTCAGTCCTGCTCCTCTTCATAACCTTCCAGGCACTCTGTGATCATATAATACTGGTCACCCTACTGTTCCTCACACACAACGCTCCATTTGCTGTCGTCCCCTATGTCCCCCATGAAGAGGGAGAGAGAATTCTCTCCCCGCTCATCTCTTCCTCCTCGTTTCCCTGGCTTCCTCCAAGACTCAGCTAAAATCCTGCCTCCTTTCCCGGTCCTCCTTAATCTCATTGCCTTCCCTTTGCGGTTACTTCACATTTACCCTAGCTGTAACATGTTTATATCTAGTTATTTGCATGCAAATTTGCTTTGGACTGGGAGCTCCTCAAGGGCCGGTGACTGTCTTTTTGCCTTTCTTTGTATCCCTAGAGCTTAGCACAGTGCCTGACACTGGTGCCTGATAAATGCTTGTTGACTAACTGGTGCACGGCCTGAAGAGCAGAGGATGAAAGTAGTGATGACCATAGTAGAGGAGAGAGGGAGGAGGAAACAGATGCCCGGCTTCCTGAGAAGCAGGAAGTGAGGGGAACACCATCCCTTTCCCTCAGGCCCAGGCATTCCATTTCCTAGCATTCATCAGCATGTCGCAGACTCAAACACTGGACGTCCTACTCTGAGGCGACAGGAGCTAGAGGTCACTTGCTAAATCGCAGTTACCACAAATAAAACCCTAACCCCAATGGTTATAGGACAGAAGGTCAAGCTGCCTTGCCTGGCTCACTCCAGAGAGCATAGCCGTAATGGCTTTTCCCCTCCTCTGTTGAAGTTCACAGAGAAAGAGCTGAATCATTTTGCATTCAGGGCAAGGCCAAAGTGCCATCTCTATCTCAGCTCCCTCTGGGACCACCTAACACACAGAAAGAAACCAGGTTGTGGCCGAGGAAGTCAAGGGCAGTGGGATGCATGAGGTGGGGTCGGGGGAGCGAGGCCAGTGCAAGGGATGGAGGATCGACAGTTTGGGAAGAGGGGAGATCCAGAGAAGAGGGGCCTTGAGCGCACACTTTAGAGATATCTAGAGTTGAAGAGGAGACTCGAGAGGAGAGAGCAGAACCAGCAGCCCGGGGTTTGCTAACAACTGGAACTGTCTCAGAGTGGGAACCTCCAAGCAGAGGTGGGATGCCCATGGCAGTGGAAAGTGGTACCACTTTCTCGGATGCCAGCTCATGCTCGTTCCTGCTCCCATCTCTTTGCCCTGCCCCCGTTTGATTTCCATTATACTTTTGAAGGAAACCAAGATGTATTCTGTGTGTTTCTTTTGGCTACAGGACAGCAGTTTGATAAACATGCCAGTTTGCGACATTCCTTGTTTAACACAGAGACCGCGGTGAACCCCAAGTCCACCCTGAGGCGACGACGGACCATCATTGGCTTCCCTCACCTCTCCTGGAGAGACCCAGGTGATCTCCCCAGTGCCTTTGTCTCCCCTTTGCCATGCTTAGCTCCCTGGGGCTGGGAGACCATGACAGGGAGCAGACCGTGATAGAAAATGGCCAAATGAGAAGTGGGAGCCGTGAAGGGGCCACGGGTGGAAGCAGGCAGGGCCTCATATCCGCAGCAGCAAATGCACCTGAAGACAGAGGCCAGGGCCCCCAGACTGCTAGGAGCAGCTGGTCAGCCCTTGGCGGCATTTTCATGAGCAATTCTTCCTGGAAAACCCCTCGATCAAATGTGAGAATGCTTTTGGGGATTGAGCTAACTTGATCTTAAACAGAGATGTTCTCATTTCCTTGTACTTCATTTGAAAAACGACGTCTGCGAGTGGCAGAGGCATCATGACCATATAATGGCAAGAGGACTAGCTTTGGAGTGAGAGCAGCTGGCTTTGCCTGTGTGACCCTTAGCTTGGCATCCCTGGGTCTGCCTCAGTGGCCGATTCTGTCACATGACAGGGTTGGTCTACACCAGTGGTGTCAAACTCAAATAGAAATGTACACCTGCAGGCCATATATTAACACTATCTATTTTACTGTCTTTTTATTTATTTTGTTAAATATTTCCAAATTACATTTTCATCTGGTTCCAGCTGCACTTGGAGGTATTTTAGGTATGCTTCCTTATCACTTTCACCTGACTGTCAATCCATATTTCTGTGATAAGATAATTATGAGATTGGGGGAATCTCCCTAGGACTGAAGCAGCATGAGTTCATTGTGCCCGGGCTGGGTGTCTGTGGCTAGACCCGCAGCGAGGGGGACGCTAGTCTTTCCCCATTTTGAATTTTCTCTTTATTCTGGAGATATCCGTTTCTTTGTTTGTTAATTCATTGGCATGAGTGCAAGAGGGATTCTTCTCTGATCGTGAAACGCTTTGGGACTTTAGAACAATTTGGTCTATTTCCCACTCTTCCCCAGGCCCTAGATTGTAAAACCTTTTATCTTGGCTTGGAAAATGCAAGAAGTCCTTGGTATCAATTTCCAAGACATAACTCCCAGATTAGGTTTAATGCCCATGGGTAGGCAAGGGATCCATACTGTTTGTATAGGATGTGACTCCCAAATGTAGCCCATCTACTCATTTGTAACAATTTGGGTCGATCCAAGGCTTTTTAGCAGACCTCGGCTATGTCCTAATCGTGAAGCAAGCGGCTGGCCTTGAGAGGAACTCAGGGGGTGAGAGTTTTAGGCAGAATCCTGTCACTCAGCCACTGTGGGGCTCTGGGTAAGTCACTGACTGTCCCAGTCTTCATCTCTGGAAGTCCCATCAGTCCGTTGCCAGAGACTGGGCCTCCGGCACCGGAGGCCCAGGGGATCTATCTGCAATGACAGAATTAACATTCTATGTTGCTCTCCTCTTCCCAGGTCGGAGCAACGGGCAAGTACACTGTGCGGCCAAAGAGTCTGTGTCCTGGAACACAGCTCCGGAAGTGGCCAATGGAAGGGGACTGGCCAGCCGCGAAATATGTTCCCCAGAGCTGATTTCCCCAGCCCTGAGAAAGACGCCCAGTGACCTAGGAGAGTCTCGCCCAGCTTCACCCAGCATGGAGGGCATGGGGATGGTGTATAGTGTCCCCTCTTCTTGCAATGGACCAAAGGATTCGACATTCTCTCCTCCGTGGAAAGGAAGCTGCTTTAATTACATGAGCCCGACTAGTCCTGTCCCTGTAGAGAGCAGTCAGGTCAGAGAAAATGGGAAATCTCCTTCTACATGCAATTCTCAGGGCTCTTCAAATGTCCTCAGCCCTGGGAACTTGGAAGGGACTGGCTCTGTTTTGGTTGTTCAGGATGACCAGGCAGGCAGCAATGCCTCTACTTGCTGCCCTGAGGCCCCCACTCCAAGAAGCCAAGAGTCAGAGAAAGACTACAAAGGGGGTCCCCTTCCCAGCAGCAAAGCAGGGGAAGGGGAGCCCTCAAGGCAAGAGTCCGACCCAAGTGCCTGTAGATTCCGGGAGAGGTCACTGTCTGTGCCGACAGACTCGGGCTCTGTGTGCTCAGTGGATGGGGGCTGTGGAGAGGACCAGCAGGGCAGTGAAACTGGCACCCTGGCCTACCCCAGTGCCAGCTCAGAAGGCAGTGCCAGTACAGACAATGTTTCCTCTGTTGGAGCTGAGCCCAGACCAAGAAGGTCCAAGAGCATCTCCCTCAAAAAGGCCAAAAAGAAGCCTTTGCCCCCAATGCGCAGCGTCTCCCTGGTCAAAGATGAGGCTGTCCTTCAGCCAGAAGCTGGGCCCAGCTTGCCCAAGGATCAGAGGCCTAGAAGCCTTTGCCTTCCCCTTGACCACCAGGGACATCAGTTTTCCTCCACAGATGCTCAGGGTCACCCAGCTGTGCCTAGTCTAAGGGAGACGGAAGGCACACACTTCTCCCACCACTGGTATCTCACTGACTGGAAGTCTGGCGACCCCTACCGGTCTCTGTCCAGCTCGAGCACTGCCACTGGGACCACGGTGATTGAGTGTGTGCAAGTGAGGGGCAGCTCAGAGTCTCTGGCTTCTCCCTCCAACTCGAGGGCCACCACGCCTTCCCAATTTTCCGCTGAGGCAGAGGCTCGGGAGGTGTCATCCCCAGGGAGGCCAACAGGACTGATGTCACCTTCCAGTGGGTACTCGAGTCAGTCTGAAACACCAACACCCACCGTTCCTACCACCTCCATGATGCTAGGTCATTTACCTCACACGAGCAGCAGTGGTCGGGTACGGCCAGTGGTGCCAGAGAGGAAGTCGTCCTTGCCACCACCATCACCAATGGAGAAGAGCCCCAAGTCCCAGCTGTCATTTGACCTACCATTGACCCCTCCAGCGCACCTGGATACTTTGGGGATGAAGATCTCCCTCCGGGGCAAAGCCAAGGTGAGCCGGCATCACTCAGACTCAACCTTTGGAGCAAAGTTGGCCCAGAAGACTAGCCCCAACCAACCGATCATGCCTGTGGTCACCCAGTCCGACCTGCGCTCTGTTCGACTGCGGTCAGTCAGCAAATCAGAGCCAGAAGATGATGTTGAGAGCCCAGATCCAGCTGAGGAGCCTGGGCTGGAAGTCTTCACCCTGCCAGAGAGAAAGGTAAAGCCTCCAGTGGCTGAAAAGCCTCCAGTGGCTGAAAAGCCTCCAGTGGCTGAAAAGCCTCCAGTGGCCAAAAGGCCCCAGAACCTGGTTCCCAAGGAGCCCCTACCAACTTCCTCCACCTTGCTCCTGACTCCTGAGAATACAACTAGCCAGGCAAGGCCCTCTCCTCAGGATATCTATATGGTCGTGCGGAAACCAAAGGCTCTCAGAACCCCGAATGGCCAGAGCCCAGTGGCAGAGACCCTGGAAGAGGAGCACCCTAAGATGAGTTCCCTGCCAGAGAGGGGAGGGGAGGTGGAGCGAAGGAGAAGCAAGGTCCCCCCTCCAGTGCCAAAGAAGCCTAGCGTGCTGCCTAAATGCACACTACATCCGCCACAGCCGGAGGCCAGTGCAGGGGAGCCAAAGCTGGCTCCTAGTCCTATCATCACCCTGGAGGAAGATGTCAACTCTCAGCTGAGCCCCGATAGCTTCCAGCCCCCGAATACCAAGGAGGAGCTCTTTAAGCCACCAGCTGACAGTGGAATTGAGGCAAGCCTTCCAGGTCAGTGAGTATTGTGCTTTTGTTGTGTTCAGTCCAGCTCATAAGCAGTCTTGGTGCCAGAGTGAGCAGGTCGATTCGGAGATAGTCTGTCAATCCAGCGAGGTCTTAGGGCCCTCTGGGGCCACCTTGGTCCTCATTCCAGAGGATGAGCCAGTGATAGACAGATAGCCAAGGTTTACTTTAGGCCCCTCTACTCTGGAATCTATAGGGCCAAGATTGTGAAATCAATAGTCCATCAACAAGCATCCATGAAGTTCTCCCTCTGTGCTTCGTGCTAGGGCTGTGGAGAAAGGGCACAAACAGCCCCTGCTCTCCAGGAGTTAACAACTAATGAGGGAGAACAACATGTGCATCCGTCAGGACGTCCAAAGTGCCGAGCAGAGAAATGGAAGTCGGCCTCGTTGTTCGCCCCTGTCAAGCTGAACTTTAGAAAGTCATCTTCTCAGGCCAGCTCCCAGGCTCTACTAGGAGAAGGGCATCGTGGGCAGGGCAGAGCCAGAGCAATCCCAGACAGTCTCTCCTGAGAGACAGGAATTCGAGGAGATGTTTAGATCCACTCCCTGACTCGGTTTCTCTCTTTATCTTAGGAAGTTTCATGGAACAGAGCACTGAAGAAAAACATTTTGCAAGTGACAAGACGGCAGAATCCATAGCAGAAGATGATGACGATGTCTTTGTGACGTCTCGCACGACTGCAGACTTATTTACGGTCATACACAGGTCAGAGCTTCACTTTTTATTTAAAGGCACATGGCCAGTCTCATGTGCTCCCTTCAGCTGTCAGAACAGCTGCTTTTTTTCCACTGCTCTTGCTTCTCAGCGACTCTTCCCCCTAAGCTGACCTGCCCTCCCACTAGATTCCTTCCTTGTGAGATTACTCTGTTCAGTTTGTTTTCTGCTCGGCCCCAGAAAGGAGAATCAAGAGCCATAGGTGGAAGTGACAAAAGCCAGTTCAGACTGGATGACTGGAAGAACTTCCCAAAGTGGAGCGGGCCGCTTCCGGGGCTAGTGAGGCCCCCCCACTAACATAGGGGTCTCCACAGAGACTGGAGGACTGCTTGCACATTGGGTTGTCATGGATTGGACTAGAGGTCATTGAGGTCACTTCCAACGCTCATTCTCTGTGATTCTGTGTCTGCCATGATGATTTCTTCTGGCATGGGCGTGCACACCCAACAATAATGAAACTTTAAGTTTGCCTAGCCTCTGTTTTCCCAGGGTTATGCTACAGGGCACGAGGAAATCAATAGACTATATTGTCCAACACAATCAACATGAATTTATTAAGCACTTGCTATGTGCTAGGTGCTGTGTTGGGCAATAGGGATGCAAAGGTGATATCAAACAGTCCTGGGTCTCAAGAAAGTTACATTTTCTCTGGGGAGATAGCAGGTTACAAAATGAAGACGTGGTAATCTGAGGGGGGAAGGGCACTAGGAGTTGGAGGGGTTGAGGAAAGGCTTCATGGAGAAGGTGGCCCTTGAGCTGACCTCTGAAGGATGCTATGCAGTGGAAAGGCAGGAGATAAGAGACACTATGTGGGTGGAAAAGTGAGAAGGCCCACTGGGAAGGGAGGCCAGCAAAGCGGTTTGGAGCCAACGGGTGAAAAGTCTTAAACGCCAAGCACAGAGTTTGGATAATTCAATTCAATTCAGTTCACCAGACATTGTGCTAACCTGTGTTGCTGATGACACTGTGCTCTTCCAGCTTAAAGGAATGTCAAGTTAATGGGAGGACATTGTAGCAAAGGTGAAACAACTGTGTGAGTGGGGCAGGAAATGTCCAAAAAGAGTCAATGTGGGGCAATCATCAGAAAATACAGTTGGGACCAAGAACCCAAATGATCTTAGTGTGTGTGTGTGTGTGTGTGTGTGTGTGTGTGTGTGTGTGTGTGTGTGTGGAGGGGGGGTGTTTCTATACCTACCACCTCAATTAATGTCCCCAGTGTATGGGCACAATGAAGTCTGAAAGGTATAAACATGAAGGTTTATGTACCCTGTGATCTCTTTGATTGGGCCACGAAGGGATCAGCTGATTGGCCAACCAAACATGGTGCCTCTGCCTCTTTGGAGTTTTAAATGGCTGCAGAAAGTTGAGCCATGAGTGAGAAGTGGACATCTCCAGGTTCAGAGGTGGAGCTAGGCCCCTGAGAAGGAATCCTCAGCTCCTGAACATGGAGGCTTCCACTGCTGAATTTCTTCCAACTATTTAAAGGTCCCCTGGAAGCAGATGAGCCAATCACCTGTTCCTTTCTTGACCCAGTCAAAGGACTTCACACCCTGTGAAGAGATCCCAGGTATCAGTTATCATTTATACCTCCAAAACTACATAGTGCCCTTGTATTGATTACATTAATGGAGATGGAGGAGACATAACCCTTCCCTTATATTTTTGAGACAATAGACTGTGATCTCTTTGTTGAAACCCCGGAAAGGGATCTCGGAGTTATTGTCAACTATACCTAACAGGCCCAAAAGACCAACATCATCCTGGGCACAGTCACTGAAAACACCTCCAGAGAAAGAACTGATGGCATCTGAATACAGGCTGAAGCAAACTATTTTTTTCACTTTCCTTTTTTTCATTTGTTTTTTGGTTTGAGTTTTCTTTTTTTTTTTTTTTTTTTTTTTAGGCAATTGGGGTTAAGTGACTTGCCCAGGGTCACACAGCTAGTAAGTGTCAAGTGTTTGGTCTCAGGCCAGATTTGAACTCAGGTCCTCCTGACTTCAGGGCCGGTGCTCTATACACAGCGCCACCTAGCTGCCCCTTGGTTTGAGTTTTCTTGCTCAACATGACTAGTGTGGAAGTGTTTGCCATGATTGCACATGTATAACCTATATCAGACTGCTTGCTGTCTCAGGGATGGGGGAAGGGAGGGAGGGAAGGATATTTGGTACTCAAAACTTTTAAAAAACGAATGTTAAAATTGTTTTTATGTGTAATTGGGGGAAAAATAAAATATTATTTAAAAAAAGAAAACAATGGTAATAAATTCCTGGAGATAAACACAGGAAGGGCGGAAATGACAGATGTCTTGAGTTCTTAAGGAAAGCTGAGGATGTTTAGGGGGTATCCCTACTCTGGCACCGCCTCACCACATACCTGTGGCTGACCGCATCTGAGCCTGGTGTCCGAGGTTAAACCAGTACCATCCAGCTGGTCAATTTCAGCAACATTGGGGAAAGCTCAGAACTGTACATTAATGCCTCCTTCTCCCCCTGCCCAGTCTTGGGACCCCATTTATCTCTATCAACAGCTGATCAGGGATAAGAATAAAAGAGAAAGACAGGACAAACAGAAGCTCACGTACTCAGTAAACTGTGGGCCCAGTCTGGTGCCTCACATTTCAGATCCACTGGCTTTTTGCAAGACGTGGGAGACTGACCTGGTAGGGGTGGTGAGATACCTCCTTTATTGCCCACATCTTGGCCAGCAGCCTGGAATGGCTCCCATCGTATGACTCCCACCTGTTCTCATGCATCTGTGAGATAGATGGTGGAGTCTGGACAGAGCACTAGACCTGGGGTCAGGAAGCCCTGGCCTCAAATCCTGCCTCAGACACCTATGAGCCTCAGTGTGCTCATCTGTAGAATGAAGATAATAATGGTACCTACATGACAGAGTTGGTATAAGGGTCCAAGTGAGATAATTACAAGATAACATAAGACAGTGTTATAGAAGATAATAATATAAGTGCTTTGCAAACCTTAAAGCACTATAGAAATGTGAGCTACAATCAGATTACCTGTGTCTGTAGTCAGATACACTCAGTAGCAATCCACAACATTTTCTGTGAAAAATAAATCTACCCAGGAACTCAAAGAGTGTTACCAGTACTACACACACACAGAATTTGGAGTGAGGACCTGCTTCGGACTAGGCAAGTCACTCCCTCCCCCACCCCACCCCACCCCACCCCCCGCCCCAGTCTTCTCTTTTTATAAAGTGTAGAGGCTGGACTACAGTGGACTGGAAGGTCCTGAGCAGCTGGAAAGCTCAGACCCTCTAATCACATGTCTGTTTGCCCACCTGCCCCATTACAACAAAGACAGCCCGGGTGATTTGTCAAAACACAACAGATCAGGAGCCTGCCTTCTCCTTGCCTTTGCCCAGCATGAGCAGGGCCCTAACCACCTGCCAGGAGTATCCTGGTAAATGTTTAACAACCGGCTTTCCTGAAAATGTATGCCCATACACTTTTTGTGTTGAATCTGCATTATTAACATTTTTTCCATCCCTTTCTTAAGTCCAAATAATCCACAAAACAATCAATGAAGCCTTAGGTTGTAGTACGTGCAGATTTCTGAGGTGTAAATGTTCCCAATGAACAGTTAACACTCGGCTCAGGTGGGTTCGAGCTGGCTCCAGCATTCCCTGCTCCTAAAGGACTCAATCCAAGCCAGCTCTGTTGTCCTCTCTACAGTGTATGCCCAGTGATCGAGGCAAGACCGTTGATTCCTTCTGTTTCCTGCCTGTCTACTTGTAGGGCAAAAATATAAGGTCATGTCACCAAGGCTGCTGCAGATGAGTTATCTTACCATGAGGGTGGCATTTACAGAACCATTCACATAGGCGAGGCAATTCAATTCAATTCAATTCAACTCAATTCAACAAGTATTTTCTGAGTCTCCATCATGAGCCTTTATACTGTGCTAAGTGCACAAAGACAAAAAAAAAGACACGGTTGCTGCCCTCAGGGAGCGTACGTTTTACTGGGAATTGGAGGGGGGGATATAGCATGTCCACAGATAAGGATATACAAAATATCTGGAGGTGGAGGAGAGCACCAGTAACTGAGAGGATCAGGAGAAGGTACCTTGAAGGCCGCCTGTAGGTAATGAGGTCAAGCATTCCAGACAGGGGGAACAGCACAGGAAGGGCAAGAATGTTGTATATGGGGAACAGCAAGGAGCCCCTCAATAATCACTTCTCCAATGACTTCTCACCAACCCTACTTCTCTTCTTTAGGTCTAAAAGGAAGCTGCTTGGCTGGAAGGAGCCTGGAGAGGTCTTTGCCAGCGGCAGACTGAGTTCCCATTCTTCAGCCAAGAACCCAGCTGGCTCGCCAACCAGTGAGGCAGCTGCCACAGGCGGCTACAGCAGCAGCAGCAGTAGAACCGCCAGCAGAAATGAAGACTTCAAGGCCCTGCTCCAGAAGAAAGGGAGTAAGAGTAGCCTGGGCTCCCGGCCGTCAGCAGCAGAGCTGCTGAAGACCACCAATCCCCTGGCTCGCAGAGTTGTTACGGAGTTTGCTGGGGACCAAGACGGCACCAACGTGCCTGGTACCTAAGCACCTGCACAGTGGCTTTGGAGAAGGGAAGCCGGGAAAGACTTCTGAGAAAGATCGAAATGGCAGACAATACATTGATGGTGACACGACATTAACTCAGAACCTGGACTATCTGGACTTCGGGGGGGGGAACGTCTCCAGTCTTCTTCATCTTGAGCTCAAACTAGCAAGAATTTCGATGAACTTCCAACATTTAAGGTTCGATTCTTGCAGTTCTATCATTATTGACCACTGATGACCCCCCTAGTGTTTCTGTCTTTTGACCAAGGGCACAGGCCCCATGTTGGAAACTCATGGATGGCCTGAGTTAGCTCTTCTCCCACTATGCTCATTTCTTGTCATGGAGCTAATCTGGTGTAAGGCCACATGGATGAGGCCTACCAGGCTGGCCGTGAGTGGTAGGTGGTGAGGCTCGCCTCTTTAGTGTGGAGATGCCAGGACTTTTTGGCCACCACATGAATTCTCCCCAATAGAGTTGGTGGGTTCAGTCATGCAAAATGTGGATGTTGTTATCCTTTCCTTCAATGTCCAATCTTTTTCGGATTGCTTTTCTATACGGAGATCAGGGTGATCAGTCCAAACAAATCTCTATATTTTGGCTTTGGCTAAGACAGCCAAATAGGGTCAGTTCCATTTGGGTCACTTTGGAAGTACCAAACTTGTCCAAAGTGGCAATCATTGGTCCATTCAGAGCACCTCTGTAGGCTGGCTCTCTCCCATTTCAAATGTTTGTCCCCAGTGACAGCAAGGGACAGCAAGGGTCTGTGCCGAAATCCAGTGAGCACACTGGAAGTCCCTGCCAATGCTGCATCCACTTTCATTTACACAAAATTAAAAGAATAGAGGTGGAAGGACACCGTCTAAGTGAGGATAAGAAATCCATTCAACTTGCCCAACACAATCCAGTTTCTATTGTGATATTTAAAAAAAAAAAGGCAAAGGAGATGTTGCTCGGGGAAAAATTAGGGAGAGGAATACTAAAACAACATAATGCCAATCTAAGGGGAGCATTCCTATTTTAGTCAAGTATTTTTGCTAATTAGGTATTATGCTCTCTTGTTTCCACACTGCTAAGGCACTACACATGCTGTCAGCACCCTGGAGATTCTGGCATCCTAGCACAAAGCTCCAGCTGCCTTGCCCTAGTTATGACCAGATCTGGTTCTGGTTGATGATGACTAATAGTGAAATGGGGAAAGGGCGGTTAGGCATGTAGCTAGGGAAGAAACAAGAAGACAAGGGCAAGAAGCATCAGCCGGACAATGACCTAGATCCAGGGTCCATCACCTTCCCCACGGAAAATTGTTCCGAGTCCTAAATGGCTTCTTGGGAGTTGCGGCCTTCCTGCTGTTCCATGGCAGATGACCAGGCCACATCACTTGTCTGATGGGATCCCATGTGGTAACAGAACAGCTCCCACTGGATCCCACACCTATAGGGCCTCACTTTCCACCAAGAGCACTGTGCTGTCACTGAAGGAAAGCCGAGCCTCCTCCCCTATAAAGGCCCTCACCGTCCCTCTGTTCTAGGGAGATGCCAGGCCTGCCTACCTTCACTCCAGACAAGGGGGAGGGAGCAGAATCAATTCTGGAAGACAGAGGGCTGGCTTGGTAGATGAGGGTGCCCGCCACATAGCAGGCACACGACACAGATATTTGTGGCTTGATGAGGGTGAGGCCAGTGATTCCTGACCCAGTGCAGAGTACCCCTAGGACACCCTGGCCATCTGAGTAGCTGTGTGTGGCCTCTGACCTGGGCAGATTTGGCAAATTTACCATGGCTTCCCTCTTTGTGCAGCCCCAAGCTCAAACCATGTGACTGCCTGTGTCCTTGCCCCAACTTGTGGGCACTCAAGGAACACAAATGTACTGGTGTGAGTAGAGCCCTCCAATGTCCTTGGAGCCAACATTTCCTCCAACATCCTGGGCTAGGAGTCAGGGACCCTGGCTTAGAATGCTGCTTCTTCCTCATGTGAGGCCTTCGCCTCCTCTGGGAAATGAAGGGGTTGGGTTAACGCCATGCTGATGCCCTCTTCCATTATTAGCAACAGTCACTGCAACACCTGCCATTTCTTTGGGGATTGGGGCTTGCATCCATTATCTCATTAGATAACCCTCATAGCACCCCTGGGAGGTAAGTTAGTGCAAGTAGGATTACCCCTTCCCCCCATTTTATAGAGGAGGAAATCAGAGAGGATTAGATAGGTGCGGGCAGCTAATTAGTGGTAGAGCTGGGGCCTAAACCGAGGTCTTTTGCCTCATGCAAAAAACCAGAACTAGTAGAGGATGACCCCGGTATGTCCACATCTCGGGGAGCGGTTGGGCCATGCTTCCTCTCCTTGGTGAACCTTGTGTAGTGGTCCTCTCCAGCCCCCATTGCCCTATGGTGGGGTCACTGTCCTCAGGGACTGCCACCATGTCACCCTTCCCTCAGGGCCTGCCCTTCCCCAACTAGAGCCCCAGGGCGTGCTGAGGCTCAACTCCTACTCTGCCAGTCATGGATGGACTGTACAGCACACTGACCACCATGCCCACCCTCAACCCTGCTCAACTGACTTGGTCTTCATTACTTCTCTGCTCACGCACCATATTCCTCCCACCCCAAAGGCTTTATTTCCTGTGGTTTGAACAAAAGTTTTGATCGTCAACACGTTCAGGGAAGCATTCGTGTATACCCAACTGTTTATGGCCTTGTACTACGTCGTGGAAATATATGTACAAGCTTGTATGCTAAGCCAGTGTTGCTATGATTGTACCCATTGTTCTAAGCCTATTTGTTCTATTTGTACCCTACCCCCCTATAAACTAACTAGTCAATGGAAAGACCTGCTCACAGTCAATGGGTAGGGTGCTTGCCCTCCAATTTCCTTCTTCTGTTGGATGTGCTCAAGTTTTCACAGTTAGGTAGGATTTGCCCTCCCCTCAGTGGCAGTGAGAGGCAGGTGGTGTGGTGCAAAGAACCCTGGGTTGGCTTGTGGAGACTTGGCTTCAATCCCAGGTCTGTGCCTGAGACTACCTGTGTGACCTTGGACCAGTCCTGTCCCTTCTCAGGACCTAAGTTCCCTGCTCTGGCCATTCTAGGAGCCAGCTATGGCCTCAGAGGTGCTTCTCCTCCATTTTAACACCGGTGATGGATCAAGCATTCTCTGGGCAGCAAGGGCTTCTGGTCCTGGTTCTCAGTTCGTTGCCTATGTTTCTGTTTTAGTGAACCCTCAATCTTATCGGGAAATGGTATTTGATTCATTAAGAGCAATGGTCCAGGCAGGCAGCTATCCCAACAGGTAAGACAAACACAAGCCAACTTGATAAATATTTATTACGTGCCTACTATGTGCAATAATGCACTGTGCTAGGTACTGGAGATAGAAAGACAAAAGTCAAAATACAGATCCTGACCTCATGGAGTTTCCATTCTATTGGCCAGGGCCCACCAGTATGGTGGAGGGAAGAGAGGCCTAGCTTGGGAGTCAAAGGGCCTGGCTTCGAATCCTGCCTCTGACACTTAACTCCTCATCTAACCAATGAGGGGATCGGACTAGCGGGCCTCTCTGGTCCCAGCCAGCTTGAAATCCAGGATTCTATGAATCTTAGGGAGTTCTGTTCCATTCACCACATATTTAGTGAACCTGCTTTTCTCCAGGCATGAGCTAAGCCAAAGTAGCTGGAATCTGGGAAAGGCCCAGTGTCCTGTTTGCCTGGTTTTCCCCTCAACTTCTTCTCCTTTCCCAAGATGCTCAGTGCCCTCATGGTCTCCCCCTTCCTCTTTATAAAAACCTGCTGTGGAGGAAGGATGACCAGGGTGACCTCCTCTACTGGTCAATATCATGTCTATCCAGGAATTCCCAACAGTGGTACCCAAAAGCCAGGGAGCAAGTGTCACTCTGTTAATATTATGTCATTAATGTGCAAAGAAGATCATTCTCCATTGGATTCAGATGACAGGAGCATTTAAAAAGTTTGTAAAAGTCCTGGGCAGGGAAGGCACAATTGTCCCACTGCTGTCCATGTCTCTTAGGGGTGGTTGTCCATTGTGCCTGACAGAAGCACCAAACTCTTCTTTCCCCAAATCCTTTGCATTTATTTCTTCCTTTCATGTTGTCTGCAAGTGGATGGGTGAAGGAGCCCACCTCCAAGCCCCAGCCTCCTCCCTACATTTGCCTGTATGTGGTGAGATGCTGCTGGGAAAGGGACTTTGTCTCAGAGGCAAGGACAGTCTTGGCAAAAGTTTGGCCAAGCATGCGCATTTGAACACCCAAATCAACAAGATGTAGAAAGGTTTGCCAAAGAGTGTGTGGGGTGTGTGTGTGTGTGTGTGTGTGTGTGTGGGTGGGTGGGTGTGGGTGGGTGGGTGTGGGGGTGTGTGGGGTGTGTGTGTGTGGGTGTGGGGGTGTGTGTGTGTGTGTGGGTGTGTGTGTGGGTGTGGGTGTGAGTGGGTATGTGGGTGTGAGTGTGATTTTTACCTTATTTTATTTTTGAGGAACAAGGCAAATGGTGCCAGCAGCAATCAAGGAGCTTGTGATAAATTCCAAGCAGACAAAAGCTTCCCGGGGCCCAGCACAATCAAAGTGACCATGAGATGATCAGTGTAAGTACAGTGCAGATGGCAAGCTGTCTGTGCCTCATTGGACCCAGGTGGTCTTTTGTGAGTTGCTGAGACCAAAAAACTCCATTTCCCTCCCCCACCTCCAGCCAGCTTTTTGCTGCTGAATCTCCAGCTATGCTGGCCGTCTACAATGGATACATAGCCCATAGTCAGACCCAGACCACAGTCTTTTCCAGCTTGTTTGGCCCTCCCAGAGTTTGGGCCCCACTAACACTGCCTTCAAGAACCCAGGGGCAGCTGCAAACCACCATGAGCCTTCAGTAGGGGACTTTAGCACATACAAGGTCTAGAATGTGCATACTCCATCCCTCCAGTGGATCAATGACCTCACAGATGTGGGTCCTCACTCCAACCCCTCCAAGCCTGCCCATCCATGTCCTCCCACTAAGTTCACTTCCAAGAGGTCCATTCAATGTGCTGGAGGCCATCCTCATGTTCTATGGCCATCGTGAGGATACGATGGAGTGCTCATTAGCACCCCTGGAATGCATGAGACACTGAAAACCAAGGTTAAAAGGTATGAGCTCCTGATCAACGATTCTTGTAAATACCATTTACAAAATATGAGCACGATGCTGCTGAATGACTTCTAAGAGTGAGGCAATGCTTTATTCATTAAGCTACTGGGCTTGTAGCTGACTCACTGCACAAATCGGGTGCCCCAGGGTGAATATAAGGGAATCCTGTAGTTAATCAGTTTTTCTGGGCAGGAGCCCATTTCTGTGCTAGAATGAGGAGTGGATAAGGGTGAGGATGGAGGTGGAACAGCAATACAGCTGAGAGTAGAAAAGGGGGAATTCAAATGACTCCCAATATCCCTTCTCCAGGGTTTAAGTCTTAAGGTGCTTGTAGCTTACAGACTTTAAGCTTCATTGCATTCCAACTGGGTTGAGATTATTTCCAGATTCCAGGAAGGCTGTTTTAGCTAGATTTTTCTTTGTGGGCATAAATGAGATTAATTCTTGATTTGCAGTAGAAGCTTTCTTTACACAACACTCTGATGTCAGCCAAATGATAGCTCCCTCAGACCTTTGTACTTCCCTCTCCTGACTCTGACTGTGATCGCGATAACCAGAAAGTGGTAAATCATGCAGCAGCATAACTAGGGCAGGGCAACTAGGTCCTTGCCCTAGGGAATGGAGATTTAGAGACTGCTGATCTGAAGTGTAGAAAAAAATGAATTTCCCATGTCTTCATCAGAATTATCAGGTAATTATCAGGTAAGATAGGGAGCTATTCGATGGCTTACTTCCTCTCAGCAATTGTATTGCAAGTGAGCATCTTCCTCCTTGGAACAGTCCAACCCTATGCAGTGGTTTGCTGGTGTCTTTGCTCCCATCCCTCCATGGATGGTTCTAGGTGTCAAAATTGCTAGTTACAGCTCTGGAACTGTCACATGAGAACCAGCTGAAGGAACTGGGCACTTGAGCCCAGATGGGACATGGTCACTGCCGTCACATTTCTGTAGAGGCAGGAGGAGATGCATTTGGTTTAGCTCCACAGGGCAGAATGAGGAGTAGTGAGTAAAAGTAGTAGCAGGTTGTAGCCTTGCACAGTATAAAGAAGGACTTCCTGGAGTAGTGAGTTCCTAGCTTCTGGACAGGTTCAAACAGAGGCTATGGGAACATCTGTCAGAAATGTCATTTTAGGGATTCCTGAATAGGGCGGATGAGTGGGTCCTTTCCAACCCCATATGTCCATGACATATGTCGTCATGGCTAAGTCCCCAAAACCCAGAGAGTATTATTTCTGATATTAAGTCAAGCAGATACATGTCATCTGACAGACTGCCCTGTGATCAGCTGGCAAATTGTCAGTTCCACCAATCGAGCATGTTGGCTTCGTGTTGCTACATCAAAAGTACTCCAGCCTAGGAGAAGAAAACATCTGTTTACAATGTCAAAGATCATAGAGCTGAATGGGAACTCCTGGTCTCACAGATGAGGAAACTGAGGTCAAACAACTTTCTAAGCTCATATGGTGACTTTCCTTTTAATGGTGTCAGCTTGTTTGGCAGGGAAAATCTTTTCATTCTTATCTTCATTTGGAGTCCTAATCCTTGGGAGCAACAGGCAAAATGTATTTGACTGCAACCTTTTGCCTTAGTCAAAGCAATTTTCAAATGATCGCATTCAATAGTAAACTTGGTTTCAGTTCCACAATTCAATAAACACGTAAATCCTTGCTCTGGGTCAGGTACCAAGCTAGGCCCTGGGCTACAAAGCCCCAAAGGAAATGATCCTTGCCCTCAAGGATCTTCCATGCTATTTGGCTGAGTTGTGCCAGTCGCCAGCTCAAAATTCTCGGTAACACCGCCTTTGACTGGCCGGGACTTTGCCCCGCTTTGGAGATTGGACTTCATTTTGCTCCCTTTGCTTTTCAGTCTCTAAGTCCATCAAATATGAGGCATGCTTCGTGCTCACTGTACTCGTCATCCCAAACTGATATTGATCACGTGGTAGTGAATGTAAGCCATTTGTGTTTCCTGATCAATTTTACGTTATGAATTGTCCAATCATGTTTCCTCTGGCTGATAGTAAAAGTGTTCTTCTCTTTTTGTATGTCTCATGCTCCTTTTTTCCAAAGGGAAGTTTTTCTATAGAGAGTTAACTTCACAACCTCCTCGCTGGCTCCATGGAGTCAACACTTCACAGGGTATCCTGTGATATCCACTGATCCACTATCTGTGTACTGAGGAGCTTATATCATAATCGCTCACAGAGTACATTCCTCATGACAATGTGGTACAGTGGAAACAAAATCAGAGGACCCCCCTGCTGCTACTTATCGCTTGTGTGACTTTGGACACAGGTTCCTCAGCTCGAAATATACGGTCCTATGATCCCATGAACGCTCAAGGCAAAAGAATTCTTTCATTCATGAATCCAGGCAAATGTCTGATTTTCAGTATATGACTAAGAAAGTGTGTATTCCTTTTTGACGAAATGAGTTAAAAATCAAACAACTGTAATGATAAATGTGAATGGACTAAACTTTCCCATTAAAATGCAAGAGTCACAGAATGAATCAAAAAACAAAATCCAACAATAGGCTGCTTACAAGAATATGTTTAATCTAATAAGCTCTAAGTAGATTCCAAATCAAAGGCTGGTCTAAAATGAGCCAGGATTCAAACTCTGTTCCTATGACTTTAAGCCCAGCACTCTTTCAATCAATAAATCAACAAGCTGTGTGCCACAAGTACTGTGTGCCAGGCACT